GAAAAAAGTTCATCAGGAAAATAGAACGGTTTTTCATGGTCTTTTGACTAAACTTACTAGATGTGTCACTTATCGGGACAATTTCTGAATAAAATCGACTTTTTAAAATACTGTTTGCAATTACGCCATCTAGTGGTCATCTGCGAAATTTCAAAATAATTTCCAGCAAATTATTTTCTTCAAGTTTGTTATCAATTTTTTTTCCGATCACTCTACAACACACACTTTCCAAGATACAGTCGCTTACCATCCTTATTGCGACACCCTGTATGTAAAATAGGAAAATAATTCAGAATTCCGTCTGTTACTTCACTGAGGATAATCGTTAACGGTTAATCGGTTAACTTAATGAAAATTAGTTTTGTCTCTCAGTGCCAAATAGTGTCAGTTAATATAAATTATTGTGAACCAGTTGAGGTCCCATGCTTCTTTGCAAAAAAATGAAGTTTACTCAGCTGGAATAATTGGATTTTTTGGGACCGTATTCAGTCGGTCGAAAATCGTCTAGAGATTGCAATAATCCTACGCTGAAGAATACCTACGTTACAGTGACCAGTAATTACTTTATTTTCTAAAACTATTAAAATTTTAGCAACAAAGCAAGCTTTCTTAAATGGTGGGCTTAAATATTTTCATATCCAACAGACCCATATAAGTTGTATAATAGTTAGTAAACATATTGCCAAAAACCTTTGGTCTCGAAAGCTTACATTGTAATGATCTAAGCGCAATTTTGCGGTCAAACTACCTCTGAAATGCGAGCCACACGTGCTTGCAATACATCAGGAATACATTCTAATTCGCGAATGTCACATATGCCACAACGCATGCACACATTAAAAACATGTATGCAACTTTTCCCTTAAAAGTGTTTGAAGCTGCTATATAATTTTATGTCATGGCTTTATAAACATTATTTATCCGATTATAGTTTACAACGAAACATGTTTAATAAAGCAATTTAGATTTGCTATTTTAAATTATGTTCTATCAATGGTGACTGTAAAGCTCGAAATAGAGAACGTTTAATTTAGATTTGGGTCAACCTAATACTCATTGTTGAGATACTGTCAACATTTACATAATTTTCAGGCGTCTTTTATGTGCACCAATCACATCAGAGCAAATAAAATAGAAAGGTTTTATTAGCCACTTTTGTAAACCAACCGATGAGGAGATACGTTAGGAAGAACGCTTTGTCAAATTGAGAGAGGCAGTTGATGCACATCAATGCAAACGAAGACCTAATTGCCAATTTTGTTTCTAACTAAACAAAAGGTACTCGAACTATACTTTCATAAGAGAATTAATTCATTCTATTATCGATTTTCTGCGAAAATAAAAACACATCGACCCACTCCGAGGCTTGTTCCAGAGAATTTACAGACCCCTAATTAAACTCTATCAAAGCAGAGAAAAATAATTGTTTGACAATAGGAATATTAAGACTGGAAAACAGGATAGTTTGTAAAGATCCAACCGAAGTATGACAGAAGTATTCGAATGAAATATACAAAAGTGGATTTAAATAAAACAGAAGAAATATTTTATCAGGAAGATAGAGTTCTTATTTACAATACTAACAAGTTAAGTAATGAACTCACTACCATAGTGACAAGATTGAATCAAACGTATAAAAATAGAAACTTTTTCACCATATTGAAAATCCAACTAGAAATTATACGATCATTCGATTATCAGATAATTAACAAAAAGCTGCTTCATGGCACGAAAAAAACTTGCGAAGCAAGTAGTGATTATTTGTATTATCGGTGGTATTTGTACTGTCGGTGATCGTGAATAATCATATAATATAAAATATAATTGCGGAAAATTTTTAGATAAAATAAAAGCATCAGATTGCGTCAAGGTGCACGACATAATCCGGTTTCCTTCCACTCGAAATACACCAATAAATATCATCCAGACATTTAACGGTGTATACTTCGAAAGTAAATCCGGGCAGATATTTGGAGCAAAACCTACACATGTGATAAATAAATTAAAATTTCCTTAGTTTTATCAGATCTGAGACATGTGCAATAACAGGCATTGAACTGTAGGACGAGAACATCTGGTTAGATACAGAAAAGGCAACGAGAGATTGAATTCATATTGAAATTTCTTAAAATCCAGATTAAGAGTGGCATCCAAGTAAAATGTATAAATGTATAAAATGAAACGATATTTCTTAGATTACAGAATATGGGGGAATGCGGATGTACCCAGAAAATTAAGAGACTAAGTGTCCTGAGATCAAGTGCATCCTATTTGAAAAAAATGATAGAAAAACAAACTGAATACAGCAAAGCTGTTAAAAAAGTGTGAATAAAGAGCAATTTAAATTCAAGAAAACACATATTTCACAGGAACTAAATTTTCGTCTTCTAATATATTGAGTGTAAAATAGGTTAGTAATTACAGGGTGTCAATTTGAAAACTTTCCACCCTTAATATCTTTCTTGCAGTTTAAAATATGGAAAATCGGAAAGACCCGTACATTTTATTTGTGAGGAGGACACTTTAAATGAATATTTTTAGTCACCTTGTTTCAACCCCCTAGGACGGGTAGAAATCACCCTTAGAATCTTAAATAGGAAGGAGGAACATCGTTTTAAAAGGGGTTCAATTATCTTTACATTAGTTACTACTTTGTTGCTTTTTGCCCAGAGGTTTTCGAATAATCGCGTTTCAAAGTTGTAGAAACAATTAAACTTGCGTGCATTCAGATATTGGTTTTCAAGTTAGTGTTTACATAAAAATATTTGTATTGAGTCTCTTTGTAATACAAATGATTAGAAGAGCAAGTTACACTGTTGTCGTTGAATAATAGAAAGAAAATATAGTTTAACTATTGATATGAATTTTATTTCTTATTTATTGATTATTTTACATCGACAAAAATAAATTTTTATTTGCGGAAGAGAAATTTCCGCAATAAAACACATGGGATCTATTTATGCACTATCTTACCAATTGATCAAAATATTGTCCATTTTCCTGTAAACAATAATAAAGTCTGTTTTTGAACTCTTTCCTAACATTTTGGAAAACTTTACCGGGAATTGACCGGCATTCTGCTGCAATTCGCCTTTTAAGATCATCAATATCAGCAGGTTGTGTTTTATAAACAATGGACTTAAGATGTCCCTAAAGAAAGAAGTCTAAGGGTGTTCAATCCGGTGATCTTGGAGGCCATTCAATTGGTTCCGTTCAGCCAATCGATCAATTCAGGAATATCTTATCAATGTTAGGGAAGGTTCGACAATAGACTATTATTGTTTACAGGAAAATAGACAACATTTTGACCAACATATAAGAAACAGCGTAAGTAGATCTCATGGGATTTATTGTAGAAATTTCTCCTAAACTTTGAAACGCGAGTTTTAGAAAACCTCTCAACAAAAAGCAACAAAGTAGTAACTAATGTAAAGAGAATTGAACGCCCTTTAAAACGATGTGCCACTTGACCCCCTTCCCATTTAAGATTCTAAGGGTGACATCTACCCGTCCTAGTAGGTTGAAACAAGGAAGCACAAAGATATTAATTTAAAGTGTCCCCCTTACAAATTAAATGTACGAAACTTTCCGATTTTTCATATTTGAAACTGCAAGACAGATATACTAACGGTGGAAAGTTTTCAAATTGACACCCGGTATATTACACAATCGTTTCGACAAAAAATGAAAAAACATCTATTTTTTTCAATGCAAAAAGTTGTCTATAGGCTCACATTTATAATCCCGGTGTTAGTCCGTCGGAAATTACATAATTTATTAGATAAAAGTTTCCGACAGTTTCGACCTTTCTCTGGCAAGCCCATTTGTGCATAAACAGGGCTGCAACCGAACATGGGCAATTTTATGGGACACATTTGTAAGCCGGCATATCCTTTGGGGGACAGGAAATAGTGAACAAAATCGCAAATTTTAGATGGAACTTGTCTGGTGAAATATTAAGCTTCCGAGTTTAGGGGTTCCAAGTTTTGTTTTATTTAATACGACTGAAACTGGAATATAACTTTGCAGTGGATCACACGAGTTGAACAGGATATTTTGTGAGTAATTAAACAAAATTACAAAAATGCGTAAACTGGTATTAGAGTAAAATTATGACAATTTTTATCCTGGAAATTAGTCGATTATTACTTATCGATTTGCTCAGTGTTGAACTGAAATGGAAGTTATTATTTAATATTTTTATCTTATATTTGCTTTGCTCTTAAGAGTTGATAGAAATTTGAAGCGAGGTTTTATCGAACTTAACTAATATTTGATTTAAAAAATGTATTCTTTGTGTTTAAAGCAACCCAGCCCAGTATTTTGGGATGGGTCGGAGATTATCAATCATTGCGGGTCTTGTCTGCTTCTTAATAAATGCAAAAAACATGTTTAGGCACTTGTAATTATCTAATTGTTTAGTGCATGTTACAAGAAAGTGATTTCACAACAGTATGGCTAATTGCCACTATGCTAAACCATGAAAAATCTCTGGGTTCGGTCTAACTTTACTTTGCTAAAATAAAATCGAAGTTATTTCAACTTTTTTGATGACCGCATGCAATATGTGTTTTATTGAAATAATTTTGCACTCGGATGAGCTCGTTTTAATGGTTATAAGTAAGGCACAACCCCCATTAGAGAAACATTGCAAGACGTACAATATTATTAATTAAGACTCCCTTTCTTGAGTTCTCAAAGTGTAAGAGCAGGTGCTAAATAATGGTATTTTCTCTACGCAAATGCCGCATATTCCAGAAGCAGGACACAAGATTAGAAGTTTTACTCAAAGTAAAGTTAGAACGAGCTCCTCTTGCGTCCCATGCAATTGTTTATGTGGTTTTGACAAACTTGTAAGAGCTGAAAATAACTCAACAAAATTGAAAAATATTTATGCTACTTTTAGCACAGTATTTTTCGTAGTAGTTGTTCATACAATAAATTAATTTAAATTAAAAGAAAAGTATGGATTAACTACAACTAGAAAACATTTTGCTTACCTAACTGCTTTCTGATACCGTTGCCCATTTTGCTGCGCCACAAACTGTTGATGAGGGTCGGATCTGCTCTTCTCCATTCTCGAAAATCGCTTATCACGATTCTGTTTCCTCCGATGATACCACCAGACAAATTGGGGATGGGCGATGCTGTACTGAGTTGGGGTATTTGTGCCTGATTGGGTTGCGCCGTGGTACCATGCGTAACTCCTTTAATAGAAATTCGCTTATTCCAGGTATACTTGCGGATATTTATAATGCCCTGTATGTGCAGATTTTAAAAGTCCCTAACTCAGCAGCAAGTTTTTCAGATGACTACAGTTGTAGCTTTTATTTTCCTTTTCATTTATCTTCTGTGTATGTTTTTTTGAGTGAGGTGCCTTCAGTTCATATCTATTATTTTTAACAAGAAGCGTCTGCATTGATGGAGGAACCATATGTCTACTTTATTTATCTCCCGTTTTTTGAGGAACTTTCTGTACTTGTTCCACCCGTTATCCATACCGATATTTCAACAAGAAGAAGTTGGTGTAAACACACTGGATGAAATTCAATCAAACAAGTTTATGTAAAAAAGTGTGTATGTATGTATAAACAGGCCAAGCGCTTTCGACAATTACGTCATCATCAGGGCCACTAAAACATAGCAAACAAAGCAACAGTAAGCAACCTGGACTATATCACACAGACAAAAACAAATTAACAGGAAACAAAACTAACTGGTCAAATTAAAAGTGAACATCCTCAAGAGCACCGAACCGAACATGTAAAACAATAGTCAGAAATGGTCTAAAGGGCTAAAATTGTAAATGACAAACTTACTAGTAAACAGACTAAAGTTAAAATTAGAATGATTTTTTTTGTTTTCTTTTTTATTTTTTTTATTAAAGGAACTTGACTAGTCGGCCTCAACAGTATGGCGACCAGTCTGATAAAGTTAGCTTGAAAGCATCGGGCAGAAACACTCCACATTTGGCTGACAAAGTGAATTTTAACACCTTTTTTCGTTGGTGCGAAATACTGAATATTCAACAAATTAAATAAATAAATATAAATATCTATTGCACAAGCAAACTTTCGAAAATTTCTGAACTTTTATGTGTTTCGTGTAAACGGGTGTTAGTTTTATTAGCAAGAGTCTCAATGACGACACTTTGATTAACTTTACTAGATTTAGAGCTGAAACCTGCTCTGTTTTCCATTTTAGAGCCTTGAGTATGACTTAAATATAGTCGAAACGTTGGCCCAAGAAAAATAGTGTTTCATGTTTTGCCACCGTCTAGTGACCGATAAACTCACAGACCTAAACAGACATCATTTACTGATAGACACAGCGTGTTTATCTATTAAAATCATTCTATATGAATCAATCAAACAAAGCTGAACACGCTTACCTAAAAATTGGAGCAGGGCCAGCACTACTGCCAACAATAAAAGCCAGCCCATCCCTGCACGTCAATGTAACAGTGTCGTCCACCATGAAACTGGCACTTTGTTCAACATTCGCCTGCTGATTTTCTATTTATTCTCTGCAATCGGCTTATTAGATGGTCTGATTTATCGTCAGCTTTTCTCGGATATCCCAACCGTACCAATCCGGAATCAGAATTTTAATTTGAAGAGTTGTTTTCTTAATGGGCTACTTTAATTTGCAATGTCGATAATGCCGATGTAATTGGGGCGAGATTTTCTATCTGAAACCCAATTGACGTGTTTATTCTGAAACAAACAAGAAGGATTGATTAGAATCAACCCCTCTCTCACAAGTTGTTTTTTGGCCTAAGGATCTTCATTAAAATTACCGGTCAGGATGGATTCTGCTTGAATTCTAGTTCATTTTAAATTTTAATTTTTTAAAATTTAATTAGAAGCAATTGCAAAATTTTCAATATCGCTGATGAGCTGATGTAACTTGACGTATGCAAGATATTTACTCTGGATTCTGAACTTTAAACTTAAGCAGTTTTAATTTAAAAGTTCTACTTCTTATTAAACGTCCAAGTTATATTGCAAGAAAGCTGCACCAAAAGCATAACATATTCTCCTGAAAATATTTGATACTGTGAAGAACATTTCATTACGGAGTTCGGATGTTTCCGCCTTCATTCCCTTGAACTAATACAGCAAAATTATTTTACTTTATGTTTAGTAATTCTTTAACGCCCCGACTATATCGTTTTAAAGCAAAAGGACGACAGCATTGAGCTGACGTGAATTCATCTAGCCAATCGATAGCCTTTATTAGTGGCAGAGCTCAATATTGGCTTCCACCTCTCATATGGCCCTTAGTGCGGAGTCAAATAGCACAAATATGGAAATTCGAATTTAATTTGGAACTGTTTAGGGTATTCGGGTAGAATTTCTTAATTAATAGAATTGTTTGGCTTCAATCTGTTTTAATAACATTTTTGAAGGTTTAGTATCAAATATGGTGTTCTGTTAAATCTGGAAAAAATCATACTATGTAGACGATTAATTTTTAACCACAGGAACCTTCGAAACCATAAAGCTGGATTTATAAACTCTGCAGTTGGTGCCGTTCATCGTTCGTAGTTCGCACTTGCGCAATTCGTCACTCGTTTCCATTAGGTTCATGACGTTGGCGATTAATCAAATTTTATTTCGCCGACGGTTGAGTTCATTTAGTTGGCGAATCAACCAATGACAGAAAGAGTTTTATATCCCGTGAGTGACTGACCGTGACATTTGTCAAAACAAGGCCGTGTTTTGTTTATGTATTGGCAAGATGGCAGATCAAGTTATTCTCGTTGAAGATCCAGACTTTAGCAGCTTGCTAATAGAACGAATTCAGAATTATGAATATATTTACAACCGTATCCATACTTTCGATTTTCTGATAATACTGAAAGTGCCCTTTTCTTGACCTTTGCCTATTGCGAGGCCTGACTTTAAACCGCCGTATTTAACGCTTTTTTCTCAATAACAAATAATATGTCAAAATGAACGTAAAACCAAGTAGCCTGCGTCTCCACATTTTGATATTAAAATGGAAAAAAGTAATTATTAATGTGTGTAAGTGGATATACATAACAAACAACATAACCAATACATTCAATCATATGGGCATACGATTGACAGATTTTTCAATCTGACCAATCAAATTCCAACGTCGCCAACTGCTAACTATTTAATATAAATCATCAAAACACGAACAACAGCAACAACAATGGTCAAGAAACGGGTACTTTCAGTATGAACAGAAAATCAAGAGGATGGATGCAGTTGTAAATATATTCATAATTCTGAATTTGTTCTATTAGCAAGCTGCTAAAGTCTGGATCTTCAACGAGAATAACTTGATCTGCCATCCCGCCAAAACATAAACAACACATGGCCTCGTTTTGACAAATGTCACGGTCAGTCACGTGATATGAAGCTCTTTCTGTCATTGGTTGATTCGCCAACTAAATGAAGACAGCCGTCGGCGAAATAAAATTTGGTTAATTGCCAACATCATGGAAACCTAATGGAAACAAGTGACGAATTGCGCAAGTACGAACTACGAACGATGAACGCCACCAACTGCAGAGTTTATAAATCCAGCTTTAAACTTAAACGAGAATGTTTATTGAGGCTCGATACGCAATATTTAAAAATTTTTTTTTTGTTGGTGAAGTTTTTCCCTATTATTTTCCCATTTTACTGATGAGTCCAAAAGTCTTAATACTGGCGCCTAAAAACTCTACATTACGTCTTTTATTTAAATGCACATTCCTAATATTAAGGGTTAGCCAGGAGAATTTTTCTCAAATTAATTTTCAGTTTGATGATCCATGATTTTAACTTTCGAAACTTTTGTTTCACAGTTATAAAATAAATTCTTTGTCTATTACACGTGTCTGAAAAAAAAACGATAACAAGAAAATTCTTTATCCCATTATTTATTTTAGAGCCATAGCACGAAGTGTGTCGGTTTTAGAATAGGTCAAAGAATTGGCCAGTTATTCGAATTGGGAATAGGGAAAATATTTCACAGCATTTTAAGATATATTTTGGAAGAACTATTAATTTAAGACTGAAGTTGTAGCTTTTCAGTTCTTGAATCGAATAATCGGCTTAAAACGCTGATTAATTTGTAGTTTTGTTTTTGAGTTATGTGGCCAGTTCTCATGGATTCCCCTGTATCAGCAGCTAAGGAATACCGCCAATAATCATTTTATAATGCTTATACCATTAAAATAATGTTAAAGTTAGTCAGAGTACAACCACGCTTAAGTAAACTTGTAACAATTATTTAATAATAAAAGTAGTTTTTAAAAACGGTTTGTCATTCTTCAAACAGTTAACTCGTGTGAAAGAAATAAGTTAACTGTAATATGAACAATAAACCGCTAAATTTAAAACTATGATAAAAGCAGCAAATCTAGCAGCAATAAAATGGAAAATTATGCAATATGTACATATAAGTATAAGATCATCTGGTTTTTAATCGAACAGGAATTGGTCAAGCTCATATTACAACTGAAAAAAGTTGGACGTTTATATTATGTTTTAATTGCACAATTAATATTGAGAGAAATGAGAATTACCTACTTTTTCGAGAACTCTTGATATAAAAAAATAATTTTCTAATTTAATATTGACTCAAAGTCAATGATAGTTTCGAAATCACTTTTATGGGACGACATAATTTTTTATGATATGTTAAATGAAAACATATTTTATTTAAATCGTGGCTCTGTGAGAATTAGATATATTACCATAGCGTTATGGTTATTCAGTCTCTTACTACATTCTTTTAAGGTCAACGTTTACATTTTTGGAAGCAGAAAAGCATTTGAAGCTAGTATAATTTCACGAGTTCAGCTTTGCATTTAATTACTCAGTCTTGAAATTAGTGCATTGGCACATTTCTGAAATGAACAAATATTTTTGCTCAAGTTTTAGTTTCGAGTAAAATAAGTAAATTAGAGTAATTGAGTTTCCTCCAGGACTGCGGGGTAATATTTATAACTCTAACGACAACATTTGCATTTTGCTTGAAGTCCATGAAAGGTAAGAGTGTAATTAAACAGCAATCACGAGAATAATGGAAGTCAATTGTAATATATCGCTTGCCCATCTATTTTACATTTTATTTCCCGAAAATCGATCTCTTCAATTAATAATCGAACGGTCTTACACTAGGAATCGTTACATAGAAATACACCAATCGCAAATCATAGCAAAGATAAATTCAGTAATTTTGAAGCAAAATCATAACTAGAATAAGCTATAGAGACCAAACGGCGTCCCCAGTAATTTGAGGGTTGTATATCGCACTCCAAGCGTGTTTAACTCACAGCTATCGATATTTATTTACGTGATATAGGCTATGATATAGGTTCGATGGCTCTAATGGCTCTCAAATTAACGAGATTGCTTATGAGTTGGAATTAAGTCGAGGATTTTTTTGACATATTTTCTTTTAATTCGATAATTCGTTGAACCATATGGGAAATATGGGATGGGCCGTGAAAAGTTCGATTCCATAAAGGTTTCCTGATGGAGATAATGGATCTTGATGAAAAGCGTAATTCATAATTGTCCATAGTTTAGTGAATCTGGAACAAACTTAAATTGCGGATATTTTTGTGCAGCTAACAATTTTGCGACATTTAATACTTTTATGTACCTACATATGTATGTTGATAAGAATTGATGCAGCTAGATTTACATTTATTTAATATTTGGAAAAGTGTGCTTTTAAAGTATTTATTTTCCAACTTAACAGAATATTTTGCAGATCATATATTTATAGACAGTTTTTTCCTTTGTCCAGCACATCTTTGAAAGACAATAATGAACACTCTTGTTGTTAAATTAATCAATTGCATTTATGTATTTTAATTCCAAATTGTCGTCAGCACTGTGGGAACAGGACAACAACCCGTCAGTGGTTCAATCAAATAAAGCCCAGCTCTTCCATCCTAATTAGATATAGAGATTAGACATCCCAATATCTTTACCAATATTGGGTTACAAATTAAATTATACGATTAAATAATCGTCTCGCGTCTTATTTTCTTACAATATTAGAAACGTCTTATTAAACGGCTGTACCCTTTTTTTCGGCTTTTAATTTCATTAGCTTTGTGTGAAACGCATGTCTGCATTACATCTTTCTTTGATATTTTTAAATAGTTATTTGTTCATGTTTGTCTTTCCTCATCGTCAACCAAGCCAAATAAACCAAAACACTTTCAAAAAACGCCACTTATTATTTATTACTTTATTTATTATTTTTTGAGTAACTATCCTGGTGTGTAGTTTATGTATTATGTATGTTTAATTTGAATTAGTTAATTGGATTCTTCCCATTATTATTTTTAATAGAAGTCGAGAGTAACATGAATTATTGTTCTTTGACTGTTTAAACATAAATTAATAAATTACGGGTTACTTATTGTAATGTAATGTAGTAGATGGATTTATAAACTTTATTTAGTTCATTTATAATTTTTGTCGATTTTTAAATTTTTCTTAGGTTACTTTGAAAAAGAAGGCACGATAAAATATTTACACTTTTGTATGAAACATCTTGTATAATTGCAATATAAAATTGAATTACACTATTACGTACATTTACATTACGTAAAACGTTCTTGGAACGGAAAAAATAAACGTTATTTTTTCCGTCATAAGTTTTGCCGTAAATTATGGGTAAACATTGGAAAATTGTAATAAGAATTGATTATAATGAATCTCACTGGTCGTGG